TTTTGTAATATTTTGGTTTCATAACATCTGACTTTATTCTCAGTTTAAATCTCAACATTTCTATTTTATTCCCAACATTTTGACTTTATTCTAGAATACCAATTCAACGTCTAACTTAACGTTAAAAGTATGTGTAGTTTCCTGCCCCTAGGGGGCAGTACATACATATATTTCAGGGTAGTTTACACCATATCGCAGTGACTATTGCTAGTTAACTCATTCACTGCCAGCTGTTTCCTGATCAGTAAAGCCCTTCGCTGCCAGCGTTTTTCAGCATTTTCACAGTTTCTTTTAAGAGTCATAGAATGTTGTGCTCTATAATGATGTTAACTCCCAAACTACCAAAATAAAGCGTAGACTCACCTCTTACATCAGGAAGAATCTGCACGTTTCGAGCGTTATCCGTTCTTTCATGATCCGTTGTTGAATTGTGATCTCCAGAAGCTTTTCCGGTTCGCGTCTTACTTTTTTTTTTACTACAGCAGCCCAAAACGATCTCCCAACACATAGATTTTCTGCTTCCTGATCACGTGACGTATGTTGATGAAGATCAGCTTTAAAGCTGTGATGTTTGTTCCCACGGTGCGGGGGTCGTTCCGACGCCCACGCGGTAAAAAAATGGAAATGACGACTTTTGTCATCAATGGTAGTTAATGAGCTGAAAGAATATTACGGTAAATGTTACCTGTCCTGGTCCGTCAGTTAATTCCACCAAGAGAATACAGAGCCGATAGTAGTTTGCTGGCGCTGTAGTTTCTGGATCTGCTCGGGGTCCAGCTCCTGCCCATGATGTCACCACAATGTGGCAGTACTGCTCGGCCAAAATAAATTGCATCTCTTTTTGATTCTGTTCTATCGCAAATGTTTAGGAAAGAGTTTAGCAGTTTTGCTCATGATTTTAGCAGCCCGAATGTTTTTCACCATGGTAACGTGCATCCAGCCAATCATCTGGTTCCTCATCGACAGGTGCAGGACCCCGAGCCAGCCAGAAGAATGGCGTCTAATATGGCGTGCCCCAAAGGCGCTAGACACGCACCCGTTGTACTTTACGGTTATACGTTACGACGCTGCCAATATTTTTCAACAACTGGACATCATTTTATTCATTTTCAGAGATTAACGGTAAAAAAAACACATTGTCTCTTTAAATCTGCAGCTGAGTGGACCCAGCCCTATCAATCACTGTTTCACGTATCTTCTACCTGTTGCTACACGTTTCTCTGCTCGGTTGTGTGTTACTTGTCCTTGTCTCTGGTCAGTTTAGCCCACAGAGACATTTTTGTCTGATCCAGACTTAGGCCAAGCGTGGGATGGATGCATTGACAGCTTCGGTGACAGGTGGTTTCACTTTCTTCCTCTAAAAAGGCTTGAGTCAGCAGTGAACTCCCCAAAAGTCACTGAACCCTTAAAGGAAAAGGAGCGAGTGAAAGAGTTGAGCATGTCTCCAAAATAACGCATTGGGAGTTTTTGTAAGGCAACCGCCATGTTTACATGGCTCTAAAGCTCTGCACAAGGCCAAATGTTATATATACAGTCAAGGCTATCTGAGAAACCAGCGGACATGGCCTCCGCAAACACAACCAATCTCTTAATCTCTCTCAATTTCAAATGCTCCTTTTCCCTTCATCTCCTCCAGTGAAGTAAGGTTGGAGTGCAGGCTTGTCTCATTTTTCACAACTGAGGCAGTCCTTTTAACTTGATTAAAACCTTTTTCCAGCGTCCTCTTGAGGATTTTTAAAAACTGTTTTAAGTCCAAATAACATGAGCATGTCTTCAGACCATGCCAGACCCCCTTTCCGGGGGAAATATAGGGAAATATTAGCTTTGGACGCCAGCCTTGCCCAGCACACAACACACGCAATTATGGGAGCTGTTTAAACAAGAGAGATCTTCTGACAGCCGACGCCTCATTTGGAGAGATGAAGGAATCAGGAAATGAAACCTTCATTGATGCGCTGAGGGTATGGAAAGAGAATTCCCTCTGGGCCCTCTGCGGCTGTCTGTGTATCTCATGGGGATTCCGAGTGCTGAGGATGGACTGCAGTACTTGTGCAGTCGTGATATTGTAGAATTTTCTTGGTTTGTGTGTGTGTGTGTAGATGGTTTCTTGTGGAAGTTTACATTCTAACATTTTATCTGTAAAGATGCAGCTGCAGGCTGCTGGTAGCTTTTCGCTCTCTGGTGCTGCCACTTTCATGATTGAGAAGTAAAACCACAAAGAGGACTCCCTTTATGTCTACATCAATCTCACTGTCTTATTTTCAGCAGCCTCTTATCCATCGTGTTGCTAAATAATACTTTTCCCATCAGTTTTGACTGACTTGATGTGTTTTTTACTGGAAAGAGACAGCTGAAATATAAGAGCAGGTAAAGGGGTGAGGGTCATAGGTGCAGCAGCTGCTGACCTGATTGTCAACCCTAAAGGGTTCTGTTTAGTCAAGTTGAATGCTCAGAGATCAGTGTGTGTGTGTGTGTGTGTGTGTGTGTGTGTGTGTGTAAACTTTTGTGCAGAAAAAACAAAACCAAGAGAAAAGAGTGAATTTAATTTCTAACTCCTCCTGAGAGTTGCATTCCCGAGAATGGAAACCTAATCCAGAGCCCTTCTCAAGCTGGACAAATAAACAGCAAATTAGCTTCGCATGATGGCTTATTACAGTTTTTTTTTTCGATTGCTAAATCGCGTTTTTCAAAACTGTACGTTTCTTTCAAAACTGCACACACAAAACCCCAAACATAACACACAAATTCCTAAACCGTGGCTTCCCTTTGCAACAAAACCCTGCCACTACATATCGTAACATGTTCCAAAAATGGAGCACGTGTTTTCATTTGGTAAACACAGCCACATTTTCACATGACACACACATACCATTCATTGCTTAAACACAAGTAGCCTTTGGGTTAACACTACCAAGCATGGAAAGAACACTGAAGAGCAAAACTGAAAACACAATTGTCTAAATGGAACACAATGAATTACACACTGAATGTACGACAGTGCCCACTTTTCCCTGAGACAAACATTAGACATCACACAAATTTTGAGACAAAACATTTTATTTTTATGGTTAAACCACCCCCCCCAAGCATAATCATGGGGCATCATGCCGCCGGTCTCTGTCTGGCCAGAGGGCCTCATCAACATCACAGGCGATGTCCTCCTGGTCCAAACAGCTCTGGAAGTACCGACTCGAGTGCCTCATGAAGCCCTGACAGGCCTCAAAGGCCACATCTCTACAAGCCTCCTCCATGTGGGACCTGGCTCTGTGGATTCCTTCCGTACACCTTCCACCTCCAGGCTGAGAAAAACTCCTCAGTGGGATTGAGGAAGGGGGAATAAGGTGGAAGGTATAAAATGGAAAACCGTGGGCGGTCCTGAAACCACTCATACACCTGGGCAGGCTTGTGGAAACTTACTTTTATGCTGCAGTCACTGATTGCAAATTGCTCGCCAGACCCGAAAGTTTAGAGATTTGAGTATTTGTGTGTTGTTGATTGAAGCTTTGAGAATTTATGTGAGAAGTGTGTGTAAACCTGAAAATTGTGTGTTGTGTTTTGACAGCAAGGTAATGTGAAACTGACATCAGAGTGTAAAGGAGGAAAATCAGAGTTCTGATATGATAAGGAAATCTTAAGTAGTGATAAACTGAGTCAAGCGATTGGGAACAGAAGTAGAGGTTGTGAAAATTGTGCCTCATTTTTGCTTTTTGAGTTTTAGCAATTGAAAAAAACTGTAATAAAAAATTAAATGGAAAAGCTTGTGCATATGCAGTGGACCATTGATGCACTGAGCAGAAAGATGGATCTGTTTCGAAAGAGATGAAGAGACCATAACCATAACCTCATAATTAAGGACGCTGATGTTCACTTTGTTTAAAGTGCATCAGAGACCACTAACCTGTGCAGCTCTCTAAACAGAAACAGTCAGAAAAATAGAGAGAAACAAATGTCTTTCTCTTTTTGCATTTTGGCCTGGACTCCCTTGAAAATGAGGTTTTTAATCTCAACGGGACCTTCAAGGTTAAATAAAGAATAAATAAAATAAAAAATTAAATCAATCAAAAAGATATTGCACTACTGTAATTTTTCTAATTATGTTTAATTTAAATGACACCACAGTTTAGATCAGCGTTAGTTTGTTGGGACAGCTGGAGGAAAAAGGTTCTTTATCAGCATAAATCAACTCAACAGCTCTCTTTGAGGTCACTTTTTATTTGTGGCCCTGCAGCAGAACCAGTCCGTGGGTGACACTTAGTAAATACCCCGTCTTTGTAGGCCTTTGAAGCAGACTCACTCTCCCCCACTAAACAGGGCCCCAAAAATCCCTCTTTTCATCTAAACGCTTCCTCGTCTTCCTGCTTTCCTCCCCTCACCCCCATCACAGCGCTGACGGCAGGTACCTCTGCCCAGGTGGATCAGGTTTCCCTTTAGTTAAACGATTGCGCTGCATTAGTATTTTATAGCTTAATGCTGAGCAGTTGGAGCTTTTAAATGCAGGTCAGGTGTTTGACCGTCTCTCTCTCTCTCTCTCTCTCTCTCTCTCACACACACACACACACACACACACACACACACACACACACACACACACACACACACACACACACACACACACACACACACACACACACACACACACACACACACACACACACACACACACACACACACACAAACACACACACGGCACCTCCTCAGATGGCTCCTGACTTTACTTTGCATGCTTTCCTTTTGAAGTTGAATTTTCTCTTAGATCACACATTATTCTGATTTATTATAAATGTTTCTATTCCATAATTAAATTAGAACTTAATTTTTTAATGAAGATGAGGGGAGGAGCGCTAGATATGTTCAAGTGGATAAATTCTAGTAGTAAAATAATAGATTTAGCATGTTTGCATCCTTCTCCTGTTCCAAAAACAAATGATTGTGCAACATTTGTTCTGTGGTGAAGTGCTCTTAATAATTAAATGTGTGTGTGTGTGTGTGTTTCCTGGCAGATGTGGACGAGTGCTCGGAAGGTAACGGCGGATGCCAACAGATTTGTGTCAACATGATGGGCAGCTACGAGTGCCGCTGCAGAGAAGGATTCCTCCTGAGTGACAACCAGCATACGTGCATCCAGAGGCCTAAAGGTCATTCACCTTGACACATGCAGTAGACGGGTCACGGAGATTAGTTTGTTGTTCAGCTTCAGAACTTTTAGGCTCAGATTTCAAGTAATATGTAGGTGATGATGTTGTTAAGTATACCTGCAGCTCTGCTGCATTAAACAGAGAATGGGATCAGCCTAACAGGTCCTAAAGGAAGGTGAAAAAAGCAGTCTCCTATCTTAAAAGGGGCACAATAAAAGTGAACAAGGATCAATCTTGTTTTGTTTCTTCCCACCCTTTCAAATTGAACCAATCTAATGCTTGGCAGCAGTTTAAGGTATGTGTGGTATGAGCGTGGCCTACGGGGGACTGCGAAGACTGAAAACAATTAAAGGTGTAGCCTGGGGCAGACACACCTCTTGTTTACAGAGCGTTCCTGAGGGATGGAGACGTGACATGAAAAGATCCAACCTGCTCTACAGCTTTCTCACCACTCTCAGCGGTGCCGCAGACATGCACACATTCATAAAGTCAGCCTAAGTTGTCAGGAAATATCTCTGTGTTGCATCTATCCTGCAGCTGTGTTCGGTAGCTCCGCCCATTACAAGGGCTGCTTTTTAGTTTAAAACTGTTTATTCTGCAGCATCCTTCACTAACATCTTCAGTTTGGGGCATATGAAGGTTTTAAGACAATTATAAATTTAATTTTTTTATTTTTTGTTACTGACAGACTTTTAAAAATGAATATTATTTCATGGTGTTTTAATGTTGGTTATAAAATATTGGAAGCTGAAAAAGTTTATAGCATCAGACAGACCGAAGAGCTATTTTCATGATGCATTCTAGGGGAATTATCCAGCAGATTTCTCAGATCCATCAGCTCTGGTGATGCTGTAGATCTTTAAACAGACAGATGTTCGCCGTGTTTTAATAAACCCAAACAGCCGCTGCAGGATCTGAGTGGATTCTGGCCTCAGCCTTCCTCGTTGCTCCTCGGTCTTTTGTACGCTAAATGCTCGTGTGGGACTCATTAGATTGTGATGTTCCTGAGGAGACTGGATGGTGAAATGATGATCTTGGAAGTCAGATTTATGAGATCAGCTTAGCCTTGTGAACTGTCAATGTTTGCATTTCATAAAAGCCATGTTGTTCTGAGCAGTCCAAAGCCAGATGATGAGTTCGTAAAGCTCAGCTGTCATATCGGAGCTGTCAGAGGCAGATTTTGGGCTGTGGTCTCATCTTCCCAAGCCCCTCCCATCTTTATTTCACTTACTTTTTCCCTTCTTGATGAATGTTTCCAGTTCCTGTTAAAAATCCATTTTAATATTCATTTAGTCATTATTCCTTCCAGATGACACACCATAGGATCTAGAGATTAAAGCTGCCATCAGACTTCCCTCACTCATCAGACAGGCGCCCTTTCATTGTTTCCGTAGATGTGGGAGACTTACGGACACAACAACCGCTCATCTGCTTATTATTACTGCTCTTATTACAACCGCGTGTGCCTGAAGGATATTGGAAGTGGTTAGGAAGTAACTTAGTTGAGTTGTTGGGCAACAGCCCTGCAGAATTGCTACAAGTATCAAGAATCATTGAGAAAAGGAAATTTGGTTTAAATGCAGCCCTCTGCGTATCCTGCCAGCCCACCTCTCAAAGAGCAAAACCAGGAGAACAGCACTTTTAGGAGGTTTATTGTCGTCATTAAAGAGGCATCAGTTTTCCATTTCTTCCATCAATAGGTCAGGTGTTCTTTGGGCAACCTACGTCCGTCTGGGTGCAGCAGAGAGCTGCTCGCTGCACCGACTGCCTTTCCTCCTGATGATGCCGAAGCTTTGCTCGGAGGGGAGCTTGTGCCAATTAGGCACCAGAGGTCCTACAGCTTCTCGACTAATGATGAGTCTGCTGCTGGCCTGTCTCCTATTACACCTGCCCCTTCCCCCTCAGCAAGGGTAGCTTTGGCCAAATGACTTTCTCCATCATATAGCCAGCCAAAATGTAACAGTTCATTTATTCCCTTCAAACATCTCCGGCGGTGGGGAACTGCAAGGCTTTCAGTCCGGTCAAGGTGGTTAGTAGTTGAAGGGATCAAGAAATGTTCCACTGCTTTACTTTTTGATTTATTTCCTTCTTTATTTCAGAGGACGACAGGGTTGTATGTGCACAGGATGAGATCCAGCACAGTGGAATTCAGAGATTTTGAGCTCAGTCAGCCCACACGTTCATAATGTCAGACCTGTTCGTTTGGGGGAAATCCGGCTGGCCAATTATCTGGAGTGTGCACTGACGAGTGGGTGCATGCAAGTCACCCGTTGTAATTTATCTACCCAGTCCATCTATTAGTTCAGAATGCTTAAAATTGAATTATCCACTGGTCAGCCACACAATCAAAACCAGGTGCTGTGAAACCAGTGTTCCACTGGGCGTTGACTGATGACTACTAGTTAAAAACACTAAACCTCAAGAAAAGGTTAGTTGGGACTCATGACACGTTCTGACTCAGAAATTAAACGAAAAGGGTTTCAGACATCCCAGCAATCTTTCAATCTTGTTCAAAATTCCAGCAATTCAAAGTGAGGCTGGCTGGCTTTAGAGGTTTAAAGCTACATTCGCAAATTTGGAAAGCAAATTACCTTAAGACATTTTTTCATGCCTCTTAACAACCTTCTAAAATTGTATAGCTATAAATAAAAAACAAAAACAAAAAAATATGTATTAAGTGGTTTGATCTCCAAGAGGAGCTTGGAGTAGAGCTGCTGCTCCTCCACGTCCAGAGCAGAAGCCTCCTTAAGCGTGACAGGGAATTCTATGCTGCTTTTCCTTATTGTGACATCACAATAAGGAACAATTTCTATTGGCTCCACAAAGTTAATGTTTCTTGAAACCAAATTCTGGTGACAGATGTAAGATTTGCATAAAATGTCCCTTTCTAGGGAAGTCAGCAGAAACAAAACCACTACGACTCTTTATGGGTGTCCTGCTAGCTGGTCTTGAGCAGTTTGCTGTGGATCCTCCATGTTTTTGCATATTGAGTTTGTTGTGGATTTTTATTAGCATATGGAGAATTTAGAGCAGGATGAAGCTTTTGACATGCTATTAGTTCATTTCTGTGTCGTAGAGTCATGCCGTGTCCTGTTTGGAGAGACTTTTATTATGCTTGAAGGAAACAAGAACAATCTTTTAAAATTTGCTAGAAAGAATTTTTTAGCAGACCATTTCAATGTGAGAAAATAATGTTTTTCAGTCATTCACCTGTCAGCTGCTGCACAGAAATCATAGCGAGACCATCCAACCAAACAGGCAGGCAGAGATGTGACATTTATCAATAGGTTGAGTCTTCAGATTTCAGCTTCCCGGTTAAAGCTAATCAGTATGGATCAAGTGTGTCTGGCATTGTGATGAAAGCCACAGCATAGTATCAAGGAGTCTGTAATGTAATCATCATGGCGGTGTGAAATTTGAAAGTATTTAAAACTCATTGCAGAGGAAACAATGTGATTACATGAGCCCCAAGGCCCGACTGTCAGCTAGTGTTTCTGCTGCAATCTTTAATGGGCCGGTGAACCAAGGTCTTCCCAGTGCAGGAAAACATAGATTAGGAACAAGTCGTCAAACAAATGAGTTTATTCTGTAGCAGGAACATGACGATTGAAACAATGTTAGCAAATCTAACCTGACAGTCTCAGCTTTTACCTGATTCAAATCACAAGTGCTGCTTATGAAAAAGTATTTGTTGTCAGTAAAACCTTTTTCTGTGTCCACCCCACCCCCCCACCCCCCCCCCCACCCCCCCCCACCCACACACACACACACAATCATTCATTTCACTTTAACCCTGCTGGAGGCAGACAGACATGCTCTGTTTAAATGAGGACTGTTGCACGATGACTCTGGGATATGCGTTTGGTCAGAACAGCATCAGATAAATGGACAATTCCAGTAAATGACATGACATTTGTAACACATATTCACATCATATTGTCAGTTACTGTCATTCTCCGGGGAAGACATTCCCTCTGTAAGGCAGGCCCAGGGTCGGTGAATCATGTGTTATCACACATTTGTCCTTTTCTTTCCTCTAATCCTAAAATGTAATATCCATGCAGCACATTCACATAACACTGTTGTGAGGTAATGCTGCGTCTGCTATCGGAGACTACAGAGGAGGATTCTATATAGGACTATTTGATTATGCTGATATCTTGTGATGTTTCCAGTTGTGCTGGAGCCAGCAGAGTTCTCATATGTTCCCCCTGTTGCTTATCAATAATCCTGCCCTCCTGCCTGCCTCTCTGTCTGTGCGTTGGCCACAGAACTGTTTTTACAAGTGCAGAAGTCGCTGCTCCACTGCTCTGCAGCCCAACCGTATAACCAGGCTCTTTTCTCATTCTAGGGAACTGGAGCAAAGGCTTTGAACTGCAGACACTAAGACACAAGAGACTTTGTTTTCCTTCTTTTGTCTCTGCTTTTTTCTTTCTCTCTGTTTGTGTCTTTTCCACATTATCTTGTCTCATCCTCCCTCGTTGTTGAGCCGTTCCCAAGCCCTACACCTAGCCTCACCCTTCAACAATATACATCTGTGGCTGGAGTTTCTGCAGAGGTCTGCAGACTTGCTGCTGAATTCTCCTCACCTCATTTGAGACGGGCATCCCTTTTACTTGTGGGATCCTTCAAGGCCATCCCGAAGCTAGCTGGCCCAGCACGGTGCTGCTGCTGCTGCCTTGGTGAGGACCAGAGAGTGTTCCCCCCTCCAATACTTGGCTGTCATGCCTCAATCACAGACCCAGGCTGAGCTGTGCAGAGACTGATGCCTGCTGTAGCTGCCTCTGGCTTTGACTTTGAAAAGCAAAACTTGCGTGTGATACCTTACAGCACCTCATTTTGTGTGTGTGTGTGTTGAATACTGCTAGCAGCCTGGTTTTGTTCTGCTGTAGTGTCTTTTGTGTTGGGAGGGTGCCGGGCTCCTTCAGGACAGCACAGAAAGATGACCTTGAGAGAAAAAGAGCAAGAGCTAAGGAGAGAGTGGCACATTCCCAGCAGGT